CATCTCTATTCTTTATCTTGCAAATAACCCGATCGTCCGAATCCCTGCATTTTAAAGAAAACTCGTGCATAACCCAGTGCCCATTACCTCGCTTCGTTGCCTGATCGTTCTTGATAGTAAAAGTGAAGTACTTGTGAATCCCCAAAACCCGACCCTTTTTGTCCAAAACTTCCTTCATGCTCCGAGCGAGCTAACAACCGTAACCCGCAGTCCGATCGATTCTCGATTTACTCTTCTTCCACAACTTAGTGAAAACCCAAAACGACCGTCTCGTTTGTGTATCGAAAACATTCCAAGGCTCTTTGTTTTCTCCGTAGATCTCGACGTAGATAAAAGGAGAAGGCAGAGAATCTCCTTTGAGGACTACTGCTATGAGAAACACGAAGATATCGTGTATGGTGGGACGGAATTGATATCCCTGGGGTACTGGAGATTGCTTCGACATGAATAAAATAAATTTGTTGATGCAAGAACATCCGACATTGTTGTTGATCTGATTCACTCACTGTATATATACACACATATATAGCACTTGTTCTTGTCGGGTTCTAAGTGATAATGTTTGTTTCCTGGTTGGAAAGTAACTTCTAAACCTAAGAATCTAGATCGGGCTGTAAATTTAAGCTACGTAAAAAGAATTAAAATAAGGGTAAATTACATTTCATCACTAAACTTTACACTCTTATATTTTGCTCACTAAACTTTAAAATTTTCAATTTCTTCATTGAACTTAATATATTAGGTTTTTTGGTCACTCTGTCGTTAAATAGTTAATGGCGTAAAAACGACTTCGTTTTGAATTTTTTTATTATCAAAATTACGTCGTTTTGTATCTATATAAAAGCCTATTTATAATGTTGTTAGTGAGTTTGCATATATATATATATATATATATATATATATATATATATATAGTTCAATGAGAAAATTAAAAAGATTTAAAGTATTGGGATTGGAATAGGAGAGTAAAGTTCAGTTACTAAATTTATAATTTACCCTTAAAATAAATGGTTTAGTAATGTCAAAAGTCCTTGAATTTTTGAAAAACGATCAATGTATAATTGTTTTTGTATTCAATTAAGCTTATATACTAGAAAATCTCATTAAATCAATATTAATATTCAAATTTATTTTTTATCAGTTGATTTCTTAATCAAGTTAGTGTTGTCATATGATATTTAAAAAATATATATTACACCATCTTTTCTTTTAAAAATTATAGAAACTCATCAAGTGGTCTCAATAATAAAAGAAAAATTTATTCTTTTAAAAAAATATTACACCCGAAATCTTTAAAAGTTAAAGAAAGAACTTCTGATCATAGACGTCGGACACATTCCCGTATTCGAGACATCATACATACGCGGTTAAAACTCTATAAATTAATAATGTCAGGACCGGAGAAATTTATTAATTTAGAGAGTTATTAATTTATCGATAAATTAATAATTATTAATTTAAAGAATTTTTAAGTAATTATTTTGTACATACCAAACAAAAAGACAAACTAGTCTGTGCCTCTTAGAATTACATTGCAAGAGATGAGTTAAATTAATAATGAACTCCAAATAGACTTGAACTTTAAAGGAAAACAGACAACTATTTAATCATATTTCAATAGAGTGTAATATATTTTTTTCATTTTCTATGAATTATTAATTTATGATTTTCTTGGGACCGAAAATTATAAAGGGATCTCACGAAAAATTATTATCTTATTATTTTATCGAGTTTTTCAATTTTTTACATTGGCCCAAGTCGGGGACCGGACAAATTTATTATTTTAGAGAGTTTATTAATTTACCGAGTATTAATTTAAAGAGTTTCTAATGTACGTCGGACACATCATATCCCCGTATTCAAGACATCATACGCAGGCCGGACACATCCCCGTATCCCAGACTCGCACCGGAAAAACTCTAGAATTAAACTGAATCTAGAAAAGCACAATTTAGGGAAATACATGTCTTTTATTCATAAAGTTATTCAATAATGATGCATAAGTGAGCAATGATCAGTGAATTGCAATACCACACTAGGCGGAAAATAAATTTATGAAACATCTTTCTGAGTTTAAAACCAGACCTGAGAACTTGTCCGATCACAGTCGTGGGAAGCAATCGATCGACCAAGAATGTCCGGGTTGTTCCAACTCCGGAATTAATCCGCTGAGAGAGAATCACTAAGCATTGTTAAAGGATGACTTGAAAATCCGGACTGCGCTGTAAATATAATGGCAACATCTTTGGAAATGAACTAGACGAGTTCGATGCCTCCAAGTGGAACGGTACTCTGCAACGATCTACCATTTCCAATAAACCGAACAGAAGGCAATGAAGGATCTGTAACGGATTCAATCTCGAGAAAGTTGAAATCATATGCACCGGAACGCTTCAAACTGAAAACGAAAACCAGAGCAATCCATCCCAGCATGGAAACCGCCCAATAATTAGTCATCCATGAATCAAACCCCAAGCTATGGCATACCCTACAATGATTCCAGATAAATGTCCAAGGAAACTCGCTTGCGGCACAATGATCGAAGTGAAAATCAATGATTCGAAAGGTGCAAAACTAATAGGAAGCGAGACGAAACCAAAAAGATCCAACTTGGATGAAGGTTGCTTGACAGACAAAATCGTCATCCAGCCGAAAACGACACAAGAATACCCAACGGCGGTCACTCTTCGGAAATACTCGATCTTAAAGCGTTGAATCAAGACATGGTACGATCCCAACACGAGCAAACCGGATAATACGACCAAACAAGAGTATACTGAAGATAATACGCAACTCCAAGACCCAAATGCCCTAATTGTTCCACAACACCAAGACTCCAGAGGGCACTCATATTGAAAACAAGATGAATAACACTAATATGTGAGAACGCTGAAGTAATCACCCTCCAATGGTGGCCTTCCACGGCGGTTTCGTAACTTAAACCGACATGCTGATAACCAATGTTCTTCCTTTGTATGTAAAACCAAACTGCACTACAAATTCCTATTACACAAGTAGTAGCTGGTTTCTCCAATATCTCATAAATTAATGGCTTCCCCATATCTACAAATCTCCTCCAACTTCCCTATCTTGATCACTTTATTCAATCAAAGCATCAAAACCCAGAATTTCAATCCACATAAAATTTCAAGAGCCCAGCACAAAATTCATCAAAAGATCCTTCTTCAACCCAGATCATTCACAAACGAAAAACCCAGATCTAAAATACCCAATACTTCTCAAATCCTAATCACTTAAACGCAGAAAAAGAAAATAAAAAGGATCTGGGTTGTTCCAGAGTCGATCAATAGTCTAGTTCAAGCAAGAAAAACATGGGGAAAACGAAGAGGGAGAAGAGTGATCTTACTTTCTCAGTTCTGTTTGTAAATCGACACAGGTTCCTTGGTAGCCTTTCTAGATACTGCTGTTGCTTATTTACTTTACCAATAGGAGATCAGAGAACGATTCCAATATCTCAATCCGGTCGCATAGATTGTTAAAGAAAAACCTGGTCGGGTCGCGACTGAGTTAATCAGGAAATTTGGCCAAATTTTTGTTTTTATCCTTCTAGTATACCCGATCTTAGTATATAGTTACGGGTTTTAATTTTACACAATTAAGTCCTCTATTATTTTAATACCATTGATTAATCTAAAGTGATCATTTGTATATTTATCCTAAATTTATTTAAATTTACAAATAAACTCGAACAAATATATTTTTCTCAATTTAAACTTTATAAACTCAACTATGCTTAAAATAAAAAATAATATTTATGAACTCGACTAATTTAAATTGATATTTTTGAGTAAGTGGAGTTCTTACCCAAGAAAATGTAAACCTAGAAAGATGCTGCCATACAGGGGGAAGAGGATAATTTTTGCATGTAGCCATGTGGGTGTTTTTGACTCATCAATTAGCTTAATTCCATGACAAATATTAGGCAAGTGATGATGATCATTGGCAGCTAGAATCTTCAGCTGCTTCACTCTTTCCAATTCTTTTATATTTAATGATTTACTCAAAGAAATTATTTATTAATTTCCCCTACAAATAGATGAAAATATTAAAAATAAAAGAAAGAAAACACCAACCCCTCCAGCAGAAACTTCCTTATTTTCATTACTTGATATGACATTTTGAGATTGTATCATATGTCATAATTTCAAAATCATAATTTTAGAGTATCAAATCATTAAAAATTTAAAAAAATATAAGTTAAAAATAGAAAAATATAGAATAAAGGGTAAAATACATAAATGGTAGTCCGACTATAGGGTATTTCTCTAAAGTCCCTCGACTATTAAAATAGTCCTCTGACTATAGAGTGTTGCTTTGTTGAGTTTTTCGACTATTAAAAATTACAAAATGATTATTTGACTATTCATTATGTTCCAAACTCATCGTTTTCCATTAAAAAATCGGCAATATTATGAGTTGAATGTTAATCTACTGACTATGATATGATAAAAGTTTATTCCAGAATCTCAAATGACTATCCTATCTCATTCCTCGTGTTAAGGTCCAGCTTAGACAACCCCCAAGTTTTTAATGGAAAATGACGAGTTTGGAACATAATGAATAGTCGAGTGATCCTTTTGTAAGTTTTAATAGTCGAGAGACTTAACAAAACAATATTCTATAGTCAAAGGACCATTTTATAACCTTAAATAATTGAGGGACTTAATAAAATAGTATCCTATAATCGAGGAAATATTTGTCTGCTTTACCCTGGAATAAAATACTTTATCCTAATTTTTATAGGGTTAAAATAATAAAACATTAGGATATGCCTCAAATATTCTTTTAGGTAAGCAATTGTTATAATGGAGATCTTATCCCATACTACATCTTACCCCAAGTAGTTAAAACTTGAAAGCAAATTCCCCTTGACAAAGATTTCATTTTGTTAATGAATATTTTTGTTTTATTAAATCCGGCGTCGTTTTGATTGAAATTTGGGACATAAATATAATCCTTCATCGTTAACCCTCATAGTGCACGTAGAAACAACAATTTATCCATTAAATACCAAATGCATTCCCACAACAGACAGGAAAGCTCAATCCGTATACACAAATAAATTAAAACAAAAACCAATAATTAAAATTCACCTTCACTTTCTTCTTATGCAAACTAGAATAAATTAAGAGCATGGCTGCCAGAGAAGTAGTTGTCTTTATTTAGGCCTGAATTATCAAAATTGTATCTCCCAAATGCTGTGCTTAGACCCTTATTCCATGGACTTGAAAAGGAATTTTCTTGATGTCCAAATCTCCACTTCTTGGCACCTTCGTTTATTCTTTTGGTGAAACTAGAACCTGAAGTTTCAACGTTGAAAACGATTTAGAATAGGAAATGATAATTTATAACTGACTACTGGTTGAATTAAAATGTTACTTACATGAACATTGCGTGGTTGATCTTTTGGGATCTAGTAGGGAGTCGGAGGTGGGGGAGAAGCGTAAGTGTAAACTGGAGGTGGAGGAGATGGAGAAGGTGGAGGAGGGGACTTGTAGTAGTATGGGGTGGGGGTTATGGAGATGAGGGTGTCGATTTGTAATAATATGGTAGTGGTGAAGAGTGGACTGGTGGTGGGAGAGATTTGTAGTAGTATGGTGGAGGAGGAGATGGAGACAGTGGAGAAGGGGACTTGTAGTAGTATGGGAGTGGTGGAGAGTGAACTGGTGGTGGTGGAGACTTGTAGTAGTAGGGTGGTGGTGGAGAGTGAACCAGTGGAGGAGGTGACGTGTGTGAAGAGTGAACTAGTGGAGGAGGTGATTTATAATAATATAGGGGTTGTTCTTCGTGTTTTGGTGGTGGTCGTGGGGACTTGTAGTAGTATGGTGGAGGAGGGAAGGTGGTGGCGGTGGGGGTGGGGGTGATTTGTAATAGTATGGTGGAGGAGACTTGTAGTAGTATGGGGGTTGCTCTACATGCTTTGGTGGTGGTGGAGACTTGTAGTAGTACGGTGAAGGTGGTGATGAAGAAGGTGGTGGTGGAGACTTGTAGTAATATGGTGGTGGTAGAGAGTAGACTGGTGGTGGTGGAGACTTGTAGTAGTGTGGTGGAGGAGGAGGTGACTTGTAAACATAGGTGGGGGATGGTGGTGGTGGAGACTTGTAGTAATATGGGGAGGAGGTGGTGACTTGTAGACATAGGTGGGAGTTGGTGGTGGTGGTGACTTATAAACAAAGGTAGGTGACGGTGGAGGAGGTGACTTGTAGTATTATGGAGGATTCTCAACGTGTTTCGGTGGTGTTGGAGACTTTTAATAGTATTTCAGAGGAGGTGGTGATTTGTAGACATATGTGGGAGTTGGTGGTGGTGGTGACTTATAGACATAAGTAGGAGATGATGGAGGAGGTGACTTGTAGACATAAGTGGGAGTTGGTGGGGGTGGTGACTTATAGACGTAAGCTGGTGAAGGTGGCGGTGGAGACTTGTAATAATACGGTGGTGGCTTGTAAGGATGAGACGGTGGTGGTGGAGAAGTGTAGTAGTTAGGAGTGGGAGGCTTAGGCATAGGCTTCTCACATTCCTTGTATGGTTTCTTTGGAGCATAAGCAAATGGCTTGGCCTTGAGCACAACCTCGTACTTGTCCTTTGACCTAACCTTGAGCTTGGCACCCTTGTTGGCTATGTGTAGGCTCGTGGCTATGTTGCATGGTGAACCCTTGGGTGGGGCATGGAGCTTGGCCGTGCAAGCCTCGGCCCCATATTTTTCATAATCGAACCCACGAACTTGGGCGCTGAACTTACCATTATTTCTGGTCTTATCATACACCGTGATCTCCTTTTCTCCAGCTTTGCAAGTCACTTCCACGACCGCTCCTGCACCATGTGCAATAATTGAAAATTACTCTTTTGCTAGAAAAAAATAATCAACCGAAGCATGTTTTTTATTTATAGTCATCAACAACTCTAATTATTCATTTGAGTTCAAGATTAATAGTTTGGGAATGATTTTCCAAACGAGTTTTTTCAACGAGCTTTTCAAACACAAAAGCATCGGGTTTTTCAGCTTATTGGTTTGAGTCAATAAATTCTTTTCAAACGTGACTTTTTGATCAAAAATAAAGTGTTTGAGATTGTTTTTACATTTCAATTGGATTTTTGGATCAAAAGCACTTTTATAATCATTCCCAAACGATAATCATACTCGAACCGAATTTAAATTTTGAATCAAAGTCTAACCGTTTTCGTGGCTTGAATTTGAAGCAAACACCCAAATTGAGAAGGGAATCATTGTTGTTACCCGCTCATTAAAAGGTATGTCCTATATATATCGTGTACTCATGGAGTACAAGTTGGGGAAGCATTTAATTAATACCCCAATACTAATACCCATTCCTCATATTTTTAGGGTAAAGATGAAAACAAATAGATGTGGCAATCGGATGAGTTCAGATAGGTTCAGATCGAATTATTTTGAGTTTTTGCTTTTACTGATATTTTTATATTTGAATAAATCGAGTTTTGAGTTTTTTCGGGTTTAAATTTTTATGAGTTTAAATTTAAGTTGGATTCGAGTTTACTTTACCGATTTCCTTTCTCAAATGTCTACATGTGTTTATTTCAAGGAGATATAGGATGGAGTCATATGCTCCGATTTCGTTGGAAAACCTCCCTAATCCTAGACGAGGAAAAAGAGTATACAGAGCTTATGTCCGGTACAAAACACCACAAAATCGTAAACCTTTCTTACACACTAGGACACTTTCACATTATTACAAAAATAAAAAATTTCAATCGCATGAAGAATGGTTCCAGCAGCTAAAACCATGAACCCAATAACATACAATTCCTAATACCCAATTGCATCTATCACAATACGACAGAAGGTCCAAACGGTAATCATATTCTTAGGTCACATTTTTTAGGTCCCTATATGTACCCATTTGATTGATTAAAATGCAGGTTTTAATTAAAGACGGCAATTTAATCTGAATTCGACAGGTTTCAATCCGATCAGATAGGGTCATTTTTTTTTTAAAATAGGGTTCGGGTCGGGTCGGGTCAGGTTTTTTAAGGGGTGAAGTGAGGTCTGGTTCAGGTGGAGGGTGAAAAAACTCCGACCTGACCCGACCCGAGGATAAAAATGTAATCTCCTTATTTTTTTTAATTTTAAATTAAGTCCTTATTTTATATTGGGTCAGGTCGGGTCGGATTCGAGTCGGGTGGAAGGTATATATTTTTCGGATCGAGTTCAGGTGGAGGATGTATATTTTCGGGTCGGGTCGACCAAAAACCGACCCTAACCCGACCCTAACCCGACCCATTGCATCCTTAGTTTTAATCTTAATGAAATAAATGATATATGTCATAGTAGCCCATAGTTATAGACTCAAACCCAACACTCACATGGCATAATCGGGTATATAATTAGTATCAAGCATTAAGAGATACTAAATTAATTTACATCAAAAGAACAAGGGTTTATTAACCATTTAAATCCAAAAAATAAGATGGACAAAAATCTTATTTAACTAATATTTAAATTATCAAGGACCTAAATTACCATTATACCGAAAATTTTCGAGAGAGTATTATCCGGGGCTATAATGACAATAAATATGAACATCACCTTAATTAACTTATTTTACTTTATAATATCATGTATAAAATAAATATTTTATCTTTTGAAAAAGTATTTTTCTAATAACAATGTCAAATGTTAAAATCTTAAATCTATTTTTTTTTCAAAAATAATTTTCCACAACATTTTTCAAAACCAATGCTAAATTGTCCCTTTCAACCTTTGTACATCTCTTTCTTTAAACTTTCTTCTATCATGTCCCAAGCTCTAAAAAAAGGACATTAAAAAGAAAAGGAAGATTATTAGATTTGCACGAACCAAGTGGCTCCAGTGGTAAATGAATTGTTATTTTTTGAGGACCCGAGTTTGAGCACCATAGATGTCAGGGGTGTGGGCGTTCAATGTTGAAAGGTTGATAGTTATGTTTGAACAAATACTGCCTTGTACTTACCCCAAATTAATAAAAAAAAATTATTAGATTTATAAATAGGGTTAAGTACACAAATGGTCCTCGACTATAGGGTACTGCTTATTAAGTCTCTCGACTATTAAAAGTTATAAAATGGTCTTTCGACTAAATAGTGTTGCTTTGTTGAGCCATTCGACTATTAAAAGTTACCAAATGGTCACCCAACTATTCACTATGTTCCAAATTCGTCATTTTCGATTAAAAATTGATGATATTCTGAGTTTAAAGTTAACATTTCTGACTGTAATATGATAAAATCTTATCCTAGAATCTCAAACGACTATCATATCCCAGTCATTATGTTAACGTTCAACTTAGACAACTGTCAATTTTTTAACGGAAAATGACAAGTTTGGAACATAATGAATAGTCATGTGACCATTTTGTAACTTTTAATAGTCCACGACTTAATAAAGCAACATTCTATAGTCGGAAGACTGTTTTGTAATTTTTAATAGTCAAGGGACTTAATAAAGCAATACCCTATAGTCGAGGGACCATTTATGCACTTTACCCTTATAAATAATGATATTTTAAATTTTATCGGACATATCTTTTAAAAAGAGGATAAAATTTTATCTACCGCTTAGTCCGTAAAAATAATTATGGAACTTAAAGTGTGAGAAGTATTTTTCATCTTGTTAAATGCATGACAAAGTAGTTGAAACCCTAAATTGTACAAATGCAGGTGATGGAGCCTGTTTTCTGGTTTCCCTCATTTACTTCACAACATTAAGGTTTTGGATCAATCAATGTAATGAATTAATGCATCGACCAGCAACACATAAAATTTGCTGCATTTCTTAGTAATAACTTGTTCAACCGATTCACCTACCCCTAGGGATGGCATGGGAGCCGTACCCAATGGGTTTCCACTCGACCCGATCCGATCGGGTCATGCTTTTTTAAAAGAAAATTGGGTTCGGATCTGGTCGGATAAGTTTTTTAAGGTTATGTTCGGGTTAGGTTTATGGTTAAAAATACCCGATCCGACCTGACCTAAAAAATTTATAATTTTACCTTATATATTTAGGGATAATTGTAATAATACCACTATATACATTTTCTTTCAATTAAATCTCTATTTTTATTGAATAAAAATAATAGTTTCTAATAATTATATTATTTCGAGTCGAGTTGGGTTTGGATTTTATCTCAAAAAATGGATCGGCTTTAGTCGGGTGGAAGGTGTATATTTTTGGGGTCCAGTTCAGGTGGAGGATTTATAATTTTCGGGTCGGTTCGGGTGGACCGAAAATCTAACTCAGCTCGACCCATGCCCATCCATACCTACTAGAGGTGGCAATTGGATCATTTGGATCGGGTCATTTCGAATCGGATCATTTCAAGTCATACTATATTTGGTTTAGATTTGGTTCGGTTCGGATCAGATATGGTTCGGGTATTGGTTTGGGCCAAAATCTAATCAATTGATTTTCGGGTCGGATCAAAATCAGAATGGTTGGCTTCCGGTTTGGGTTATTGTCAGATTGGTTGGTTTTGGGTCGGGTCAATATCAGATCGGTTGGTTTCGGTTCGGGTCAATTTAGATTTGTTTCGGTTCGTGTCAACTTTTAGATTTTCGGGTCAATTTAGGTTAGTTTCGGTTCGGGTCAACCATCGTCGTTCTTTGTCATCATAATAGTCGGTGTTGTCTTTATTACATATAATTCAGAAATATTATATGACAATATATTGGTAAATCCTAAATTCGATGTTAAAAGTTTTAGTTTAAATTAATCGAATCAATAAATCTTTAACATTTAAAATTGAAGATCAAATTGAATTTTTTGCAAGTATACTAATTTTTTTTAAGTTTTATTAAGAAAATATTTAAAAATATATATATAACTGAGTTTGTCATGTAAGAATAGTTGAATGTTAGTATTTGACTTAGTTTGTATTTTCATATCAGATTTGAATGAGCTCTTTATTTAATACTTGTATTTAAAATTTTATTTTCGTTTAAAGTTAACTATAGTCAATCGTCTAAATAATGTGAATCAAAATTATCACATAAATTAGAATAATTTTATTTTATAATCCTTCCTATCAAATAATGTTTTGAAATAATTTAGAAGTTGTTGCATCAGATATAAAGATGACTTTTTTAACTGAAGAAATATTATATTAAACCATTAAATTATTACTACAAATGTTATCATTTGATCTCATGTGATTATCACTAGTAGTACAATATAAAATGAGAATAAATATTAAATCATTTTATCATTTTTCAATGCTAAAAGTAAATAATAATAACAATATAAATAAATGATTCATTCGAATCCCACCACCGTCACTTTTGGTGGGTAATCTGTAAAGTCCTATGTAAATCTCAATTGAGTCTTAGGTATGCCCTGGGAGCCACCCCTGACCTAAACTTTTTGTGTACCAAAAAAAATGATTCATTCACTTAGAATCAATAAGAGAGTTAGAATCATTTTCTTATCTAAGTAATCCGAGTTTGAACAATTTTATTAGTAAAATATATAAATTTATTTAAATTTAAAAACCGAACATAAATATTATCTTGTAATCATATTATACCGTAAAACAAAAATGTTTAAAGCATTTGATCACTAACTCATTGAATTTATATTAGAGCTTGTGCCATTTAATGGGCTATCTATTTCTATTAAATGCTTATTATTTTCTTTTAATGTTGCTAATTAATTCAATTAGTTTATACAATAAATTAGCCTTGCTCTATTTTTAATGTTTATATATATATGATTAATGTTTGATTTATTCACATTGTAATGAACTAGATGATGTCACATCATTCTATAGAATTATACATAATTTATACAATAAATAAGAGACGGATATAATTTTATGTTAGAGACGGATTTATAAAATTTTAGAAAGCGAAAATATATTATCAATAGAAAAATAAACAATATATCTAAAATATATGAAAATTTCAACTTTCTATATTATAATTTCATCAATTCACCCCCTCTGACGGATCTTTATCGTTAAATTTAACAAGTGTTTAATCAGTTGACACCACACCTCATATCACATTTATTATTAAATGGCATTTCTATAATTTTAGTATCCACCGTTAAAAATTTAATGCGCTTAGTACCTAAATTATTAATTTTGGTCCGCTTTAGTATCTAAACATTTATTTTTTTTATAACCATACCTAAAGTTTAGTTTTTGTTTCATTTTAGTATATCCTCGTTCAAAATTTTAGTATCTCTGTTCAAAATTTAACGTTAAGTTTTGATTTTTTTATTGTTGAAAATTTAGGTACTAAAATTAATCAAAACTGATTTTTAGGTACTAAAAGTGTAATTTACCCTTTTTATTAATTGAAGTGACTATAAGATAG